AAAATGAAACGACATTACTTTCGGGACAACCTAATAGATTGTTTCTTGTTAAGTCGCATGCAGTCATTCATTGTCACAGAAAAATCTTGTTCTAATAGCTGACACTTCTCAATGTCATTTCTTCTCAAGTATTGCCCCGTGTTTTAATTTATCAAATTTTTTCCTTTAGTTGATGCTGATCGCGTGGACAACACGACTATCAATGTGGAGGTATTGAATGGCACTTCTGATATACGAATCACTTGGAAGAATCCGATTGATCCCAATGGACTAATAGTAGCGTACAAAGTGAAGGTTATCAACACTGCGAAGCAGTCGGTTAGTTTTTTACCGATTACGATATTTAGGTTTTTTATGAGTGCATGATAAAGACATTTCTCACCTCATTTTTCTATCAACCTTTTCCGAGTCGATTTTTATGTTTTAGACTCCTGTCGACCAATGCATTCCTGTATCATCCGAATGGAATCCAGCAGTGAACGGTGCGGTATTCGAAGGTCTGAACGACGGGGATTATCGGTTGGTTTTGAGTTTATAAACAAGTCCATAGTTCTACACCATTTTTTCTTTCTTCATTTTTTCTTAATCAGACTTCGTCCCTAATTTATTTCAAATTTCTTGCTGTCTTTTTTCCTCTAGTTTTGTTGTCTAGCCATCTCGTCGCTTAGGATATGTAAAAAAGTGTATTTTTCAGAGTTGAGCTTCGTACAGTATCTCTAGCTGGCATCTCCCAACCTGCTTATGCTGAGGAACTGTTCCAAGTCTATACACCGGGATTCTGGACTGTGAAGGTTAGTTTTTCTTGAGTTGCATCTGTGGATGTTTTGGGAAATCCCGACATTTTTAGAATATACTGCTCATGCTGTTCATCTTTCTCCTTTTTGCCATAATAGTCGGTATTGTTGGCTACTTCTTTGTGAAAAAATACTATTCACAAAAAGTGAAAGAGTATGCTACTCAGCTTATCTCTGCAAATCCGGAATACTTGTCGCAGGTATGTGTCAGTATATTTTCGGGCTTTCGAAATTCCCAACTTTTCCAGGCTGATGTCTACAAACCTGATGAATGGGAGTTAAATAGATCAGATCTTACTCTGGAATGTGAGATAGGCAGGGGAACATTTGGAAAGGTGAGTTTATTGTCATTACTTCAAGCAGCGGTTCAACTTGGCTTTTGAGGTCTATCGTGGTTATGGTAACAATGTCCTTTCGAAATGTGGAGATACCTTTGGTGTTTGTGCCATCAAAACTGTAACAGAATCGGCAAACTCTGCGGAACGCCTGCACTTCTTACTGGGTAAGTTTAGTGTGTCGTTTATCTTTGCTTGATTCCTTGTTTAAAT